GATAAGTTAATTTTTCGTACAGATATGGTGGTGACTTATTGGTGATAATTTTGTGATACATACATAAACAATGCAATAAACGTCGATTCTCCATGTTTAACCACTTCACTTCTTTTAATTTGTACGATATAGGTTGACGGCTACGAATACCATATATCAGTCTCAGACACAATTTTTGCATTTTCTGTATTCTACCCACATCCACCGCTGACAAAAAAGATCCATAAACAGTGTCGCAATAGTTAAATCTAGACAGCACTAGTAGGTCGCATAGTAGTTTTTTTGTATTTTGATTTAGTGAAAACCTGTTAGTAAAAATCACCTTTAGTGCCGCGAAGGCCCTCTGTATGGTGAGATTGATATGCTTTGTAAACGACAGCTGACCGTCCATTATTACACCCAGACTTTTCACCGTATTTTGTACTTCAATATGTTGTCCATCTATAACTAAGGTTATTGGGCCTAAAAGTGAGCGCGCATGATCCGTGCCAAAGACAGTAGCTGTAGTTTTAGCGCTATTGATGTGTAGGGAGTGATCTCTCGAGAATTGTAAAATATTTGATATATCGTTGTTAATAATACCCATGGCGCGTTGAAGATCTGAAGGTAGAAACGAGTAATAAATCTGGGTGTCATCAGCGTACGAGTGAAAATTACAATGTTTTAAGCGTTCTGACATTGTAGATGTATATGTATTGTATAGAATAGGACTCAGAATACCACCCTGCGGTACACCAGAGACCAGGGGCTGTGGACGGGACAGTTGACCATTCAGAATCACTCTCTGTGACCTACCCTTTAAATACTGGGAAAGCAGTGAGAGGGAATTCTCACCGAGACCGCTGTAATGCAAGATGGAGATAAGGGTATCAATGTCGATTGAATCAAAAGCTTTGGAATAATCGATGAGGACCAAGACTGTAACCAGGCCCCTGTCAGAGGCGCGGACGATGTCATCACAAACATGCAGTAAAGCTGATTCGCAGCTATGCAAAGGTTTAAATCCAGATTGTAGATCCGGTATAATATTATTTTCGGATAAAAACAAACGTAATTGTGTTTCCAGAATCCTTTCAAAAATTTTGGAAATAGTTGGCAACAAACTGATAGGCCGCATATCTGAGTAGGAGATTGGAGATTTTATTTTTGGAATAGGGACGATGTTAGCCACCTTCCACAAAGAGGGAAAGGTATTAGTTTCAATACAAGTATTTATGATATGGGTCAGGAACGGAATAATGTGAGGAAAACATAGTGTTAACATGAACTGTGACACACCGTCCGCGCCAGCAGAAGTGTTTTTCATTGTAAGAAAAACCCTCTCGACCTCCGCCTGAGAGACCAATTTGAATTCAAAAATATTTACTCCATCTTTCCGATCATTTAAGTAGGAATTTATCAATTGTTGTGAAGTAGTGGCTGGCGGCAGGGCGGAAATGAAGTAATCATTTATATCATTGACATTTGATAAGGTTTCTGGTAGCGACGGCTTATTTTTCAAAATACCTATCTTTCGTAAACGTTTCCAGACATCTGAGGACGCATCCCCCGGTCTACACATACGAAAGTTGACATAAGCTCGCTTTTCGTCTCGAATAACACGAGCCGTAAAATTTCTTAATTCTTTATATTCGTTATGATCCGTAACAGCCCTGGTCCGTTTCCATCTACCCTTAGCTTTATCCCTCAAAGACATTAAAAATTTGGTATTGCTTGTTAACCATGGGCTAGCATTCGAACGGCGTGTAGTTGTTTTAACAGGTGCGTGAATATCAAAAAGATTTATTAAATTATTGGTAAGAAAAGATACTTTATCATTAACATCTAGAATACGGTAAATATTGTTAAAGGGAAATGCTACGAAATCACTTAAGAATTTATTTTTATCAAAATTACCGAAATCACGATACCGTTTGAACGTAGGCTGTTCAGTAGATTTTATAAAAGTTAGCTTGCAATAGATTAATTCGTGATCAGAGATAGCGTCAGCGTTTAGTGTATCTACATGAGTAATTAAATCTAGGTTCGATGTTAAAATGATATCAATGATTTTTGAGGTCTTTGGCGTAACTCGAGTTGGCTTATCCATTAGTTGTTTAATATCAACCCCTTCTATCATGTCATTGAATCTCAAAGCATCATTGTCAATTTACAATGTGTACTTGCCCACAGTGAACAGGGAACAGAAATAAGCTTGGAGGCAAGTCAAGCTGGGAATAACTCAGGGTTCTATATTGGGTCCTCTATTGTTCCTGCGGTATGTGAATGACTTACCACGTGTAATGAACAACATTACGATAATGTTTGCGGATGACACAACGACCATGGCGAGGTGTAGCACTGATTATGAAATCACATACTGTGGATCTGAATAAACTTGCAGATTGGTTTGCAGCGCACAACATAAAATTAAATACAAAAAAAACAAAAATTGTTAACTATCACTTAAGCTCGGACCAGATCAAGGCGAGGTATCGGGATACTGAGATTGCCAGTGTTGAAGATATTTTGTTTCTGGGTTGAAAAATGGATCCTAGACTGTCTTGGACTAATCATATTGATTTTGCTCTTAAGAAAATAGAGAATATTTCCGATGAAGTAAACTCATTATTAAAAAAGTTATCTCAAGAGCAAGAATCTATCACTGCAGAGGAGGAGTTAACAGATGAAGAGTTTAGTCTCTCGTGCAGTAATGATAAAGATTTGTAAAACACTTTTTTATGAGCTTTTAAATATAATTATGCCTAAAATTCTAATTTTGTCCACCTAGATTTACAAAACGGACCACTGTGAGACGTAGGTAAAGATTTTATTTCGAAAAAGGGCATTGTTTCAATTAATGGAGATTTCAAAATCGATTTAATTGCACCCGAAAAATTCAACGTGTGACAAAACGGTTGCTTTTTTATTATCGATTTCGAACAGTTTCCGATTCCAATTCGACGATAAAGTCCGTTTTCACGGCGCGGAATGTATAAAAGCCAATGTGCAATAAAACGGTTTACGTTGAAACGATTTAGGGACGACGTGAAAGTTCCAGTTATTTTTAACCGACCTAAAATTACTTTTAAATTGCCGTTAGAGGTCCAAACATTAATTAATTTATGTAAATCAAATATTAAATCACCCTAATATTTAACGAAAAGAATTGTTTTCCACTAATTAAACTATTAAAATTACGAGCAAAATTCCAATAACACAAAATTGTTTATGTATTGTGTACTTTATTAAAATTTAGTTATTAATTTCGTACACGATATCAGAATATAAATGAAAACCGTATCCTACTATATAGCTGTATATATCGGTAGCCGTGTTATAAAATCGATTTTTTCGAACCGAAAATCAAATTCACTAATTACTTTAGTCGCGCGTCCGAAAAGATAAAACCGAAATTGCTCATTTACGTTTTCGGGTTCGTGTGCCATCGAAAATCGGCGAAATCGTACCGCGCGAAACGCATTGTGCGGGCGCGGCCGCGCAATTAAACGCGAAATTGAGTTGTGAATTCAATTTTGGCTGCACCGATATTGGCCTTAATTAATGCACGCGCATTAAATGATAATCATATTTTATTAAAATTCGGCTCGAAACGCGACTCCCTGGTATACAATAATATAATGAATATACGAATCCGTTCCGACATTCTATCATAAATCAACTCGCATTGATTGTTACTGGATTTATGGTGTACTCTATTACAGTTTTGTGAGGTAATATGACACTTTTTAAATTGGTTGAGTGAAATGTGCTTTCACCATGTAAGTAGAACAAAAACTTAATAATACGAGTTTTCCAATAACTTGAATCCAAATTTTACCAAAGATTTGGAATACGACAGCTGCAAAACCTAACGGTAGGCAAATAATTTCGACGTGTGCAAAATGAAGAAAAAATTGGCAATCTGCTACCTTCTTTTTCACTTCTTGAAATTAGGTAGTGTTAATCAAGAATTAAGACTTTATTATAGAAGGCTAGACACTGCTGGCAGAATATTCGATACTGGGGGCAGCTGACTAGATACTGCTTTCAGAAGACTGTTTGCAGAAGCATGCATACTACCTATAGTATACTTAGAGAATACTAGATACTACTTGCAGGAGACTAGACATTGCTAACGGAAGATTATACAACCATTGGGATACTAGATACAACTAGTAGAAGATTACATACTCCTTTCAGACGTTTGCCTACTGTTTACAAAAGACAATAAGAAAAAATAGGGATGACAAAAGGCTAAATACTATTAATCAAGGACTAGGATTGTCTAATAGAAAACGAATCATTGCTGACAGAATAGATACTGCTTATGGAAGGTAAGGTTCTCCTCATAAAAGACTTAATACTGCTTCCAAAAGATTAGATTCTGCCGCGAAAAACAAGGTATCGCTAATAGATAGGTATTTTCTTGTTATAGAAGACTAGCTGTTGCTAATGGAAGACTATACAGTTATTAGAAGACTAGATACGAATAATAGAGGACTACATACTGCATCCAGACAATTACCTACTATTTGAAAAAACTATATCCTAGATACCACGGAAAGAAGACTTGATACTAGAGATTGTATGTAGTTTCACGTGGGGGTGAGTTACTCACAGCACTTAGGCCCCAGCGGACCCTTTGTACGTCCCCACAATTTACTGTTCATTCAAGGGTCAGAAAACCAGCCCAATCTTTTCATGAACGTTAATATAGAACAGAAAGGTATGTTCCTTATATCCGAAATTTGGAGCCATGGTACTCCGAAAATAGATTCCCTTAAGTACACGAGGTTTGGACAGTCACAAACAATATGACTTACCGTCTCGTCTTCCATTTCACACCCTCTACAGAGGGGTGTATTCGCCAGCTTCATGTAAAACATGTGCTTACGTAACCTGCAGTGTCCGGTCAGGAAGTGGGTGAGAAGCCTCAAGTCACTTTTCGATTTTCCCAGAAACTGAGTGGATGTCTTCCGGTCAGGGTAGAGCAGAGTTTTCTTAGCAAAGGCACCTACTGCTGTCCCATCCCATCTATCGCAAAAAGCTCGGTGGGAGATGGAGTTTATCAGTTTTGATGCTGTATTAACAGCTAGTGGTACAAACGGTTCAGGGGAGATCGGTGACTTGTTAGCCGCCCGTTTCGCCAACCTGTCCGCATGATCATGTCCTTTAATTCCGATGTGTCCTTTTCGCCATTTTATCGTGACGTTGTTGTATACGTTTGCCTCTTCGAGTGATTGCCGACAGGACTTCACCAACGATGATGCAGTATGATGCCTGCCAACCGCCAGCATAGCCTGTCTGCTATCAGTACAGATTACAACGTTTCTGCCGACTTTTTTGGAGTCGATAATCGCATCGGCTGCTATATTTATAGCAATTAATTCGGCTTGAGCAGTCGTGCAATACGATCCTAACGAAGTGGAAAGGTGCAGCTGGAGATCGTGCGAGAAGATTCCCGCTCCGGAACCTCCAGCCTTCTTTGATCCATCAGTGTAGATGGTCAGCGTTTTGCCCGAGCTTGAGTTGCTCTGGGGTATCGTTTCAATGCCAAAGTGTGGCTTGCCTAAGAAAGTAGGTGTAATGTAGTCTGTGCGAGCTTTAAGGAGGGGTTGTTTACTAACAGCCTCACTCCAGAGCTTGCTCCGGACTATTCCCATTTTAACAACCTGCTTTTCATTTACTGATCGCAACCGAAGCAATGCCATCACGGCCACCTCCCTGATAAAAATATCTAGGGGCAGCACGTTTAACATAGTCTCCATTGCAATCGTAGGTGTAGATCTCATAGCGCCTGTGATTAGCAGGCAGGCCAGTCGTTGCAATTGATGCAGCAATGTAGCTTTATATGCATGTTTTAGTGCTGAGCACCAGACTATGGCTCCGTGAGCTACCATGGGTCTTATCACAGAAGTGTAGATCCACATTGTAACTTTCGGATTTAATCCCCAAGTATTCCCAATAGCCCTTCGGCACTGGGTCAGTACTATAGTCAGTACTACAGATTAACAACTAGCTTTTTTATAAAAAAACTTGACACTGCTGGCAGAAGTTTAGATACTGCTACAAAAACAATAAAGGGGCCTGATGGATGTATCTGTTCGAATTTAATTTCAGGGGTGACGGAATGAATTACCAAACGACTGAAGAACTATAACATTGTAGTGAAATATGGGACAATTTGCATTGATGGTAACAAAAAAATCAACTGACGAAACTTTTAAGAAGACGACAACCTCAATCCGATTATTAGGAAAACGTCTCATGTCTGGTGTGAGGTCTGCTGCTACTGAAATGGCAGAAAAAGATATCAAAGCCTCAAATGGAAAATTTGCCGAATAAAGTGCCACCCATTTCGTATCACATTAAACGAATGAAACAAATAATGTTTTAAAAGGCTTTCACTCAGCCTTAAAAGGAACAACTTTTTAAATACTTAGCTTCGCACTGCCACAGGTCTCCTCACGGGACACTGTAAAGTAAATAAGCACCTTCAAAACATGAAGCTTGCTGACTCCCCTCTCTGTCGATCCTGTGAACAGGATGACGAGACGGTTAAACACATCTTGTGTGATTGCCCCTGTCTGACCGACCTCAGAATGAGGACCTTCGGGGAGGAATGGCCAACCACAAATGACATCAGGAATGCACCTCTAGGAGCTGTCCTAGCCTTTGGTAAATCCTTAGGCTGGTTGATGGGGCCTAAGTGTGGCGTGCGGTTTTGCATACACTCCTCAATTCATACATACATACATACTTAGCTTCCTAACTAGATCAGGAATTAGTCTTCTATCACAATGTGTCAGATTTATATACTATAATGTATAGGTATAATATAGTAATATCGGGTGAAACAACATCCCTAACTATTTCGAAAAATATGTCAAAATAATGTCAAATCTTGTTCACATACCTCTGGAAAACTTCAGTGGTATTCAGCTACTAAATAAGACCGTTTATAAACTATTTAAAAAATTTAAAAGTTATCATGAACATCAAAGACACTAAATGTCGTTGATTCTAGTATTCAGTTGCCAAATTAAAGTGAATTGGATGATTCTAGAATGTATTGCACAATTGCAGCGTTATTTAAATTATTATAGTGTCCCGTTCACGATTCCAGAAATCAGTTGTATGTTGGTTCTTGTATCAATAAACTAAATACCATTTTCATACTTATTTCAGTTTTAATTTAATTCTGCACTTAGTTGTTGCCTAATGATTCGGTTAAATTTTTAGATGTTCTATAATTTGCATAGTCATTATGATCAGAATCTAGGGGAACTTATTGGTTGGTTCCAGGATACGGTGGATGATATCAATATCTAGGGGATGATGTTTCAACGCAATTTTAAACAAACAAGAACAAGAAGGAATGTAATCTCATCATGGAGAAAATGTTGAAGAGGTGAAGAGCACAAAATTGTACATAGACAGTAAAAAATTAGAGTCTATAAAATCATTAGACGTATACTGCTATGGATGCGATACATTGATTATGACAGGTATCGTAAAGAATAAGCTGGAAGTATTTCAAAGAAAAATACTGAAGAAAATCTTTGCTCCAACAAAGGAGAATGAGATATGGAGAAGGCAATAAAACATGGAATTTAACTGTCTGTTCAAGGAAGTCCACATTTTAGAATTCGTCAGGTTGCCAAACTGTATAACGAACAAGCAAAGATAGATGCCAAAACATGCTTTTAAACAGCAGAATGCAAGGCAATAAACCAAGAGAGAGGCCATGAAATGATGAGAGCACGAAGCGATGGAGGACGCACAACGACTTATAAGTGTCAGAACCTGGAAAAGAGTAGCTGTTGATCGACAATGTTGGAGACAAAAGATAAAGGAGGCCAGGCTCAATTTGGGCTGTAGAGCCATTGGAAAGAGAGGGACAGAGATGTTTCCACTGCCATTAAAACCATAATTTATTGGTTTATTTAGCTCATTTGTTGGGAATACTATCACAGTGACTGTTTATTGCATGAAAAAATTAAATACAGATAAAACAGAGCTAAGAATCATAATTTAGAGTTAATTCCTATATGCAGTGGCTACAAATGTGTGGTTCAGTATTCAATTGTTGTGTTAAGTATCAATATGGATTTGTTCCAACATCTTGATGTTCGATATAGCATACATAGTACTTAGATTCAGTATCTAGTGGATGATTCTAGTTTGTAGGTGATGATTAGGATTAGGTGATTTTAGGACGGAGCAATTAAAGAAAGTTACACTTTATGAAAGAAGCCAACGATAATAGTGAACGATATCAAAACTAAACAAGCAGAGAATATACAATACAATCATAAAGAATATAATCTCATATCGAAACGAAGCATGGCCATGGAAACAAGCAACGGAAAAAAATCTTTAGATCACAAAGATAACAAACTTTTATTACTCCATCTACTTCCATTTGTTCAATTGATTTTTTTTGTATTACGTTTTTCTTCTATGTATAATATGGATACTATGTTAATAAATATTATTATTATTATTAAAGATGGAATAATAAATACACCATTGTAAATACATAGTAATTAGTTCCAGTATAACGTGGCTGGTTCCATTATGTTAGGAAATGATACTTAGTTATAATTATAGTAAATTTCCAAAATATCAAATTTCAATTATTAAAATTGACGAAGAAAAATATGGTGTATATAAATTAATATTAGCAAAGATATTTTGTTGTTTACTAATACATCATAGTTTCGTCCAACATTATTTCTTAACATTACATACTTTAAAAAAGTTAGGACTTGGAAGAAAATGTCAAAAACTTTTAAACTTGTTTCACGTTGCAAAATGACACCTGAAACGTCAAACAGTGTCTTAATAGACGCATGAAATAGTCCGAAAGTTTATAGTTTCAGTTTTATTTCTAAAAACAACGACTGTTAAAGCTTACGAACTTATGGTACATATATTTTGCATTATAAGTGTCACATTTTATCACGGTCTTACCAAGATTCAGTTTCTTTGTAGTGGAACAGATGAAGAACTCCTTACCTGAAACAGAAATCATTAATTAGTATTATTTCAAACCAGTCTAAACTTGTTAACTAATCTTTACGTATGTATATCAATAACTAATTAAGATATAACGATGAAATACAAAGTGTTATAAGGCAAATTTATTCAAAATTAAGTGTGCCAAAAATAATTTCTTAATTTCCATAAACTTAGTTGCGATGATTTTTAAAATTTCATTATTTCCATAGTTTTAAACAAAAAAATTTTAATTTATATCTCTCAAATCTCAAATAATCGATATATTAATAATCAAACAATAATCGAACCCTTAACCGACCTTGTGACATTTTCTTTATACAAGCATGTGAGATCTAACCTACTTTGAGGAATAACAAAATATATATTTTTTGAAAACTTATGTATTAAATATCGAAAACCTATGCTTTAAATAGTAATAATATATAAAAGAAAAAGTCGCGATAATAGATAATATTTTATATTTATTCAAAGTAACGTATTTTATAATAATTATGCAAGAATAATAATGTGCATAAAAAATAAACTCAACTAAAGATTTGTAATGCTGCAGGAGTTAAATATTGTATTTATCTACACATATATTGCATAACGGTTTTGAACAAATTGTTTTTCTACACTGTTTACACAAATACTTCGTCATGCGGCACTTCACTTGTGGACACAAGTGGCATTAGAATGTAAATCCATGTTGCAAGTGGTTTATATAAAGAATATAACGAAGAAACTTCTAAACTTGCTTTATTTAATTTAATATGCAGTCAGACCGGTTTCGGGGCTAGCCCCATCATCAATGACAATGTCAATGGCAGACTAAAATTGTAGAACGAAGATCATCAAAAGAACAGGGGGAGCATGTAAAAGCTTGTATAAGGCTGAAGGCTTTATAAAGCGGTGATAAAACTGT